GGTGAAGAACTTACAATATTTTCGACGGGAAAATTGATAAAATACGCAGGAAATTGAATGGAGATCATAATGAAGAATTTTTTATTTATTTTTTTTTAAATGTAGGAAATTGTTTTAATATCAGTTCACACACACACACACACACACACACACAAAAATAGCGACCAGTAAAAAAAAAAAAACTCTTTTCAAGAAATTGTGTCATTGGTTGAAGAAGAGGGAAAATGAGAAAAGAAAGCGGAAGAAAATTATAAAGATTTTTCAGGTGGGAAGAAGATAACGAAGAGGAAAAGCGAGAAAAGGGAAAATAAGATCGGAACTGAGAACGAGGCCGGCCGGATGTGAGAAAATGAAGGAAAAGAGTAAATTGGCAACGCCTGGAGATGATAAAAATGATTAGCATTTATAGAGGAAAGCAAGTCCCAAGAGAAATATTAAAATTACATTCAGAGGAAAATGAATCGGGTTTTTAAAGCATTGAAGTGTCAAGAATAAAATAAAGAAAGAAATAAAAGTGGAAAAAATACACCCAACAAAAATAGATTACGAGATTAAAGGTGGAATTATGAACAGAATCAGATTGGTAGAAGAAATTAAAATTAAAAAGAAAAATATGGAGTAGAAGGAGAGGGCGGACACATGAGACGTATACTGAAAAAGTACAGAAACAAAGGGGAGAGAAAGAGAGATAAAGAGAGAGAGAGAGAGAGAAAGAGAGAAAGAGAGAGAGAGAGAGAAATGGCGATAGAAAGAAAGAGAGGATGAATGATGTGGACAGCAAAAGAAGAGAAATGTGAGGAATATTCATATGCCTGCGGGAGTGACAGAGAGAGAAGAGAGAAGTGCAGAGTAGTAATGTGAGAGAAAAGAGAGAAGTGATGTTTCAATATGTAAGAACCCGAAGAGATAGATATTATTAGAAGGGGAGGACGAGTGGAAGAGTGAGGAGTCGGCGAGGGCAAGAGGGGGGGAAGTAGATGAGATACGAGGAAAGGTGTAAGAGAGGAAGAAAAGGGCGGGTGTCGATAAAATACATAAAGAGGTAATTGGCGTAGAGAGAAAGAAAAACAGAGAAAAGAATTTGGAAGAGGGAAAAGGAAGAAAGTAGGAAAAATATCAGAAAGAGAGAGAGAGAGAGAGTGTTAGAAAGAGAATTGCTGTTAGAAAGTGAAGTAGGAATAAAGATACGAAAAGGGATAGAGAAATAGCAGGAATGTCAAAAAAGAAGAAATAATATGAAATAAATAAACAAGGAGAAGAACGAAAGTGAAAGTGAAAGTGAAAGTGAAACTGAAAAGAGTAAAATAGGTAAAGAGTAAAAGGAAGAAAGAGTAGGAAAATGAGTCAAATAGTTAGTATAAAAGCGACAGAGAAAGAAGGGAAAGAAGATTGAAAAAGAAAGTGAAGGAGAGTAAAAAAAAGAGTACAGACGTGAAAGAGAAAGAAATACTAAGAAATTAAAGAGAGGTAAAGAGATTAAAACAAATAACGGGAGCGAGGAAATAAGAAAGAAACTGAAACTAAATGGACGAGTGGGATGAAAAATAATGAACACCAGGCAAGTGAATGAGGAAGAAAAAGTAAAAAAACTGTGTAAGAGGAGTGAAGTATTTAACACAGAGAAAGAAAGGAAATACGAATGAATAAGAGGGTGAAGAAGAAAGACATTTTATAAGAGATAGTGAAAAAGGTGAAAGATAAAAGAATGAGTAGAAGAAGTAACAAGGCATTAAGTGTTGAGTTTAGAGAGATCAGGAACCAGTTCAGGAGCAAATTTCTTGAGGACGGTTGCTGGTATAGCGTCAAGAAATGCAAGCTTTGTGACATATCACGCAGTAAAGATTTTTTTCTCGGAGGAAAATCAGTAAAAGGACTGGGGAATCGGGGAGATGAGTTCGAATTCCAGTTGAATCCATTACATTCACATTTCGTGCTAACACCCTTGGGAAATGTATGAATCCTCTTCTCTCCCCACCAACTATAAGTAAATATAGAACAGACTAGGTTCTATAGCTTTGGATGGCAACTAGTCTAGCAGGACAACTCTAAATTCAAAGTTTGCGGAAGATCGTTTGGGAACCATGTGGCACAAGGCGCACCAGGAGTCCGTATTCGGGCCTACAAAAAGTGTGGTTTGTTCTGCACAAAGTCTTGACCACTATAATCAAATCATAGACGCTGGTGTCTGGCTGTCAGTTGCTAGGAACTGAATTGCTTGACCCTCATATGTCGAGTCCAACAGGAAAGTTAAGCATATATATATATATATATATATATATAATATATATATATATATATATATATATATTTACAACCGTGTATATATCTATATCTATATATATATATATCATTAATCGACATATATATATATATATATATATAATTAACACACACACACACACACACACATATATATATATATATATATATATATATATATATATATATATATATATATATATATATATAAAGTGAACATTGAAGTCGACAGACTATTTC